TTCCGAGATAAATTATATTATGAAGAGAAGTGACCTTGATTCTGGTTTATTAGTCACCATCTGCATAAGTCATCACCTGTGTTAAGTCATCATAGTCATCATCTACGTTAGTCAGTTTTAGGCCCATCTCACATGACTGACCGACCATCGATGTTCTTTCCGCGCGAGGGTGTTAGTTTTCAATGCGTCTTATTATTTACGCTGGTGGATGTAAGACCTACCCTCACTGACGCAGCTATGGTCAATTTGGTGTTATTCTTGTTTATAAATGCCTTCTAATCTGTCTCAAGTCTATCCGTTCTGTCTATTGCCATCCCAACTGTGTTCGTCTGCGAGGTGTTAGAATGTAAGCCCGTCTGTACTCTTTGTGTCGTCAAATCTGTCTGTCTTATCCGTTGTTGGCGTGTGTCTGCCTGTTTGTCTAATGTGAACCAGTCAGTCGCTCTGTCTGTCTGTCATGTTAGTTGCCATATTGTCTATTTGTGCATGTATGAATCTGTCTATTTTTGTCAACCTCCTGTCTGTTTCACTGTCTATATTCACCCTGTGTCTATTGTAGTTATCTTCTCCATGCAATCCTGTTATTATCTTTTTATCTCTTCTCCTTTTCCATGTACAGTCAACCACAGGAATAAGTATACACTGTAGCTGTAAGGTCGTCTGGTAACGTTGAAACTGCACATCGAGACGCATGATGAAACTCAGCTCCCCCCACCTGTTATCTCTAACTATATTCTGTTTCCCTTTCTTTATTCTTCTATTTACTCATCTTCCTTCCTTTACTAATCCAAACAACATTAAAAAAAAGTAGGCTAAGAAAAAAAGTGGGGGGAGGAGGAGGCAGCCGTACGATAACTGCAATCGTGGGCTGACAGCGTACAGCGAATGAGGGTGCGCCAAGTCCGTAGACTTGCATCGTTTTGCAGCGTAAATAAAATGGTTATGTAATGGCTTCCTAAAGAAACCATCGATATGGGACATGGTTTGTTCCACTCTACGAATTTTTTTTGCGATTTTTCCACCAAGTTTGATGAAAAACGATTGTGCCGTTTTGGCTGCCCAGAACAGACACACACACAAACAGACAGACAGACAGACAGACAGACAGACAGACAGACACACTCCTAGTCCTATATTATATTAGACACAAGTGGGATGTGTTCAGGCTGTGGCCCTTTAAAACTAGGACCCCCATTAAAACTAGGACCCCATTAAAACTAGTACCCCCATTAAAACTGGGACCCTCATTGAAACTAGGAACCCCTATTAAAACTAGGACCCCCATTAAAACTAGGACCCCCCATTAAAACTAGGACCCCCATTAAAACTAAGACCCCCATTAAAACTAAGACCCCAATTAAAACTAGGAACCTCATTAAAACTAAGACCCCAATTAAAACTAGGACCCCCATTAAAACTAGGACCCCTATTAAAACTAGGACCCCCATTAAAACTAAGACCCCAATTAAAACTAGGACCCCCATTAAAACTAAGACCCCAATTAAAACTAGGACCCCCAGTAAAATTAGGACCCCAATTAAAACTAAATACCCCCATTAAAACTAAGACCCCCATTAAAACTAGGACCTCCATTAAAACTAAGACCCCCATTAAAACTAGGACCTCCATTAAAACTAGGACCCCCATTAAAACTAGGACCCTTATTAAAACTAGGACCCCATTAAAACTAGGACCTCCATTAAAACTAAGACCCCCATTAAAACTAAGACCCCAATTAAAACTAGGAACCTCATTAAAACTAAGACCACCATTAAAACTAGGACCCCCATTAAAACTAGGACCCCCATTAAAACTAGGACCCATTAAGACTGTGGGACGGCATGAGATAAATGGTGAAGCTTTACTTTAAATGTGTATGAACAATCCCAAACAGCTTCTCAACAAATAATAGTATGAAACGCACTTACCATCTACAACTGTCTGTGCATACTTTGTGGGAAACAATATGAGGCCATGGACGATAATTTTGTTTTTGTATATGAGGGCTGTCACTCGTCACACGTAAAATTTTGGAACATATTGACCCCCACCTGCACAGATAGTTGTTTTAGCTACTGTATAAACAACTAAAGCCACCACGATCTTCCACACAGGTGCTACGCGTTTGTTTATTGTGGTTTAAGTTCGTGCAGCCCAAGAATAAAAATGAATGACACTGATTTATAGTTTATCTGGTTCGAGAAATATAAATAAGACAAAATTTTCAAATATTAAGTGAGTTTCCTATTGAACATTGTACGATCAACATATATCAACAGAAATCAGTTATGTAAATTACTATAATTAACCTCAGGAAGAAAAAAATTAAACACATGAGTTAATTAATTTGATTTGCTATTATTCCAAGTTCATAGCTGCATGTTCATCATCAGCATTACCTTTACACACAGCTAGACATAACAGACCAGATTTGCGACACTTACAACTTAGGGTCTGATATTGTTGTTGGTGTCAACATAATAATATTTCTCAACATTACGAACGGTTGGAATCAGAGACGTGATAATTGGCTACAGTACAGCTTCACACTTGTTTCGGCCCGTTATTGTAAATGAGGGAGGGTTTAGTGAAGGAAGCTGAGCGCATGTCCGCACAGTTGCTGGCATTAATCTTCTGGCTTGCTAGTTTTGCGAGAGGGAATATACCTTGTTGTGTCAATGGAGTCTGTTTGCAGCACACTACATATGCAACAAACAAACTCTCTACTAAGGCCTTGTGACCATGCCTGTCCCTCTTATCTTCAGTAAGTCATGACTGACCTCTAAAACCTTTCCTTGTGTGCCTGGAGTAATTTGCTTAAAAAATTATGTCCTTGTCACATCCATTAATGTGAAGACCACAGTTCAGGGGCTGACTTTGTTGGTAGACTGATAAACACTTCAGCAATAGGATTGTTTAATCTTTTCTTTGACGACCAGTCCTCACTAGTAACCTGTTACACTTTAAACGAGAGAAGTGAGCCACCAGTAGCTTAACAACATATTTAGTGACCTTAACAACAGTGTCAAGCTCACTATGTATTGTTTGCAGAATCATTCTTGTGTCATCTTCCTCGTGTGCAGCTCTTCATTTGATAACTGAACATGTAACTGCTCCGTGTAGCCCCAGCAGCAAGTGTGTGGTAGAGCATTGGACAGAATTTACTCAGACATAAACCTACACAAGGAAGCTTTATTTTCTGGCGAGGGAACATGGCGGCTTTCCACAACACGTCTAACAGGTTCAATATTCTTGCTTCTCCTTGACCATATACCCGATTTGATTGAATAATTCATCAAATGTCACAAAAACTCAGTTATCTATCGCCTCACCACTCATCAGCCGGAGGGGGATTGATCAGTTCTGTGTTACTTTGTACTGACTGTGTTAGTACAGGAGGAACCCGGTGAAAACCAGTTATGTTTGGGAGGTTCAGACTGGATAAAACCCTTCTCACATCTGGTCCTGGGCCGGGGATTGAACCTAGGACACAATTGTTTGGGATAGGCGCGTTACCGCTTTACCACCAACGCTTAGACATAAATGTTTGGCAGTCTGTACATTCAATCAGTATATCTGAAAGTACAGATCTGTTTTCGGTGTTGAAAGACCCACTAATTTCAGCAAGAGAGATTGGTAAAGGCATCAGATCATGTTTCAACAAAGTAGCCAAATCAAGGGATGGTCCTCCTCACAAGCGGTGACAAGTATATGTTTGTGTCAACTGCTGATTTTTGTTCTTTTTCACTACTTCTCTTCGTCACATAAAATTGATAAGGTTGGAGCACTATTCCTTAGTCGTGGGTCGTAGAGTGATGCTTCAGACTTGTTATTGTTTCTCAATTCACTTTGCTGATGTCCAATAATTTAGTAAATTTTCATAAATATATTCTTACTGCAATATATATATATTTTAATTTTGCTGCGGACAGCAACCAGTTTTTTGTGCACCCAATACTCATCCTGTGAGCGGTAACCCAAAAAAGGATTACAGAACAGAGGTAAAAAAGGGGGTTTATCAGACCCCGGTGGTCAGGTTGTGACGTTGGATGTATACATAGGAGTTTACTTAGCTACCAGGTGCGAAATGTGGAAACAGTTATACAGTTCATCTTTTTCAGTCTAAGACGTAGTGCTGGAGTGTGACCGTGTGTCTGGCCGCACACTTTACATTTAATTTTGTTCACATCTGCTTAAGGCTCATACTGCCAGATGTACTTGTATCCTAAACCTTACTGTGCGTTAGTCTAGCGGTATCAAAATCTTGTAATGCACTATATATACAGTACGTGCTTTTCCTTGCAGTTCAGTTATGCAAAATATAACAGACATCATTTTTCCTAAGAACTAAGTTAATATATTACGCACATTTTCAAATGGGATAAGCGGGTTAACCTCCTAGTATTAATAATAATAATAATAAAAGTAATAATGATAATATATTCAGTAAAATTATCATACAGGTTTACAATTGGATAGGCACATACTGTATATAAACTAGGCAGGTATATAGGTCAGCAGGCATATATACACTGTAGGTTACGGTGTTCTAAGGCCGTGGAAATACAGCGCATATACAGCTTCCTATGAGCCGAGAGCCCGAGGCAGTGCAGGTATACAACAATGGTAAAATGTTAGGCCAACAAACCTGCCAGAGGCTTATTTCCAGGAGAGTTCTTTGCTTAGACTTAGGGTTGGTCTCTAATACCAGTTCTAAATAAGTCATAGTGAAAGTCTTTTTTATAAATTCAAGAAGCATAACATTGTGCTTGGATTACCTGAGACGGGCAGAACACTTCATACACCATTCTGTGATTAATAACATAGAAACTCATGCTGTAGCTTCTTTTGCCCGAGTAAACAAAAGTTCACTCCCTCTAGTGGTGTCAAGAATCAACCTCGCCATCTGATAACCATTGCCTTTGCCTTTCTTATAATCTTATTCCCAACCACACTCAATCGTAACAAAGGCTTAAAAAAAAAAGAGAAAAAACACCATAACTTTTGCATTTAAATTTTAATAGTGTACATATTGAACACGATCATGAAATACAACTCGAAGCATGAAAGAAAACGAGTATCAATTAATTGGAAACTAAAGTAATACCGATATCTAATTCTTAACTAACATACCATCCCTGCAGTCATTAATCGTATGTCTGTACTTGTGAAAGCATAATTATTGGTATTTATATTCACTTTAAGCGATTATATTGGTAAAACATAACAATAACAGAAGCTTAGTAAATAAGGCCGCAGGGGATGTCATCGTGATTAGTGTACTTGTTCGTGATTAGTGTAAATGTGCGTGGTCAGTGTACGTATTCGTGATTAGTGTACATGTGAGTGACGAGTGTACGCTTTCGTGATTAATGTACATGTGTGTGATCAGTGTACGTGTCCATGATCAGTATAGGTGTCTGTGATCACGGTCTGTGTCCTTGTTCACGGCAATACTCTTCATGCTCGGTGTGATGATGATCAAATTCGGCGTGGTCCTCAGCGTGTGGGTCATGGCAGTGAGCATGGGAGTCCCTGAATTTCTGAAATACGGTATAAACAATAAATAATAAAGAAAAATAGTGTAAACAACAATTGAAAAAAATAGGAAAACTTACACTATAGTACAACTGTAAACCGTAACAAAAGACTTACATAAAAAATAACAATCACAATATTTACAAAAATAAGTCACAATAACGTATCAGACTTTGAGAATTGTAAGTATAGTTTGTAGGTGTGAGGTGTTTACCGTTCTGCAGATGTCACAGCAATCACAGGTGTCCTTAGTGATGCCAAAGGCACAAGGTGTGACAGGTTTGCAGTCTGCTGGTACACAGGGATTACACTTATGGCCTGGTATATGGTGAGGACTCGGCTCGCTGAAATATAACAAGTAAGAGGTAACATTAACTAGTGACGATGAGGATAGTTAATAAAACACAATAACAAGGATCATTTATTAGTTTGGTCAAGGACACCTGGAACTGCTTGGACTAAACACAACCAAACGTTACCATAAGTCATGATCTGGTCTTCACATGCCATCTGCAGTAGCTCAGATAATAAAGTAGAAATGAAAATTCTAGTTACACGTGAAGTCAGTGCCCACCTGTACGGTTTTTCATTTGAAGTGAACTAACATTTTTAGCAGGCAAAATGTTAAAAATTTTTAAGGTAAACTGCGGGAGTTTTGTCATGTTAACACACACTTGTTTGGGTGTGGAGATAGGGTCATGTTACCATCGTGTGCTGGTCCAATGTTTTCACTACACTAAGCACTGCCAGACTCAAGCTTGTGCTCGACGTGTATAACTCGTGTCTTATGGAGGTGGAGAAGATCTCTCTACTTGGTCAATTAAGTAACTATGCTTTGGGACGCTGGGGAGTCCTGGCCACGATACCATTTTTCTTATAAAGCTTAAAAAGTGGTGCGTGACCTTGATACCGGGGAGGTCTTTTTAGCTGTGCCTTTCTGACTGACAGCTTAATGTGGTGAATATAATTATGACTTCATCCCACACTTACACTCAGGCGCCAAATATAGACACTTTTACACTAGAACCTGTCCACAGCGAGCCATGTAAAAAATGTAACTACGTGTTTTGAATACGCCTGTGTATATACAAATAAATTTTTAAATGAAGTCATAAAAACTAAGGATAGTGAAACCATATTGGTTTGAGGACTAAGTTGTTTATACTGAAACATTCTTAGTGTTGGATTACTGCTTACCTAGTTGTTGAGGTTACCGAATCTAATTTATATAAAATCTCTCTCTCTCTCTCTCTCCAGTAAAGCCCAGTATGTAATTATGTTAAATTATCAACATGTAGCGTGCGCATAAACATACTTCATTTATTTCATTATTTGGGTTTCATTCTTCGTGTGTCCTCCATTGTTCTTTTGACTCGAAGCGAGGTTGTAGTGACCAGGGAGGGTTTGTTGTCATAATAAGCCTGAAACACTGCAGTCTCTTCCTCCCTCCCTTCCCCCCTTCCTCTTCTGGATGTCATGTACGCGGCAATGTGACCTTCAGGAAGCTAGGTAATGAAGGATAATAACAAACAGGTTCCGAGTTTTTCCCAGTATTATGTCCACCTGCCAGACCACAAACATTTTTGCCTCGACCTCACATAGATTCGTTCGTTTTCTCCTCCTGACGACGAATGAACGATTCTCAATGGCTCACAAAAGTTACAACCGGGAGATAAACTTACGAATTTGTGCGTTCCTTTACTCTCTACTCAATGACGATTATGTGAAAACGTCGAACTGGCTCACTGTAAGTTACGACAGACATAAATTCATTGGTTTGTGTGTGTGTGTATTTCTTCTCCCTGGATATGTGTGTCGCCCCAGAAATTCTCACATAAGCCCTGGCAGAAACGTGAGGGGGGAGTTTATGAGGAATAATGCAATTTAACGAAACATTCTGAACTTGAGTACAATGTTTTGGGTTTTGCTTGTTCGCTTAAGATTTGAAAAAAAAAAAAAACGATGTTGGTGCGCCTGTCACTTCTGAACCCGGAACACAGCGAGGACGATTATGGTTGTGGGAGTGATTGTGTTGTTTTTACTGACCCGCCGAACGTCTTCCTGCAGGCTGTAAATACGACCACGCACGCCTAAAGGTACACTTACATTGGCTGCTTCCACACACACACACACACACACACGTATTTAAAGTCCCACAGACATACAATCAAAATACATATTGAAATAGCCACTCATGAACATTCGCTTGCATAAACAGACCTCTCTCACACACACACATACATCGTACGTGTTCATCTGATACACATATTCCATTGTTTCATCAGATCAAGGTGACCTTCCCTCAGCCCTGTTCACTTTACTTAGCTCTTTGTCTCCGTCTCTCCCAGTTGCTGAACACAAAGAATTATTACCGAGTGAAGCTGTCGGTAAAACAGGAATATAAAACTAGCGGTATTTTTCCTGACCAGTTTTTAAGTAAGGATTATCATAAATATTGCGTAATATTACTCTCAAGATTACCATTTCATAGAGGAGAAGAATATAGTGAAAATATTATCCAGTCAGTCAGTCATTCTATATATATCAAGTTAATGCGAAATATATTCCTTAGTGTATCCCGTCAGCCACTTAGTAACTTGGGCTAATATAGTGAGATTTATTACTAAATATAAGAATTATAAAAAGTAATATTGCCGTTGCATACACACACACACACACACACACACACACACACACACACACACACACAAATAGATAAAGATATATTAATAAACATTTAGACAGATAGATAGATAGATACAGACAGATGTTAAAAGAGGAATTAATATGTTTTTTTCTCTATAGGTGATAGTTATACACCGATATACTATAATATTATACCTAAAGCATACTCAATACATATATAATGTGTGCTATACCCAGACATTATAGAGTATATAAGGTAGAAATATAATATAAGTATGTTACACCAAACCATAATGATAAATTTACCTGTTCTGGATATCTAATTAAACTTCAGTATGTTTGTTAAGCAACCACACACACACACACACACACACACTGTACACAAGAATATTAAGCTCACACGTAAAATATCATGTTAAATCGCCATCTTCTCGATCAGTGAGACGAGTAAGTATTATTTGAGACAATATTTATGTTTAATATGTTTTAATTTATGCTCACCTGAGAACACACGCAGCCAGACTGAACACGAGTAGGATGATGCAGGACTTCATGTTGCCGGTAGAGTCTTGTAGGGCTGGCTGTGTTAGTCTCTTGGCAGCTGGAGTGGTGGTGCAGGACGATGAAACGTGATGCCGGGTTTTATACAGTCCCGTGAACCTCAGTTGCCTAGTACAGAATGCTTACTTTTATTTATTCTCTGATTGAAATCGTATCTTTTAAGTGTTTTTTTTTCCTCGGCGCTATTACCAACGGTGGTGTTAGCAATAATCATTAAGGCAGTGGCAGCTGTAATAGTGTTCTGTCAGCACTGTTGGTGGTAATAGCGATAGTAGTTAGAGAATCAATCGACATTGTCTTCAGCAACCTCAATACAGTAATTACAACGCAAGTGGGAAAGGTAAGACCAGCAGTATAGAAAAAGGGAGCCAACACCAGCCTAACGACAGTACAAATGACGCAGTATAGTTTAAGTTTAGTATTATGGAGCAACACTGACCTTCCAAAAATTTATTCTTTGACCTTCATCTGTGATATTAACCTTTGACCTTCATCTGTGATCTTAACCTTTGACCTTCATCTGTGATATTAACCTTTGACCTTCATCTGTGATCTTAACCTTTGACCTTCATCTGTAATCTTAACCTTTGACCATCTGTGATCTAAACCTTTGACCTTTATATGTGATCTTAACCTTTGACCTTCATGTGATCTTAACCTTTGACCTTCATCTGTGATCTTAACCTTTGACCTTCATCTGTGATCTTTACCTTTGACTTTTGTGATCTTCACCTTTGACATTCACCTGTGATCTTCACCTTTGACCTTCAACTGTGATCTTAACCTTGTGATGACTGTGTTGACCATGTGAAAACTGTGGTGACCGTGTAATGACCGTGTAATGACGTACCATCACCAGGTGCACAGCGGGCCACGTGATCATAGGATGAGGCTGCTAAGGTGTGGTTTAAGCCAATACACACACACACACACGTTCACACACACACACACACACACACGTTCACACACCAAGCTGAGACTGAGGCACTCCTTACTGTGTGTTGCTCATGTATAAAATCCGATTATCCGAGCAGTTTTCATTCTTGAATCCTGATCCCAATTTGTTTTTCTCTTTCACAAACCAACTAAACCTAACCTAACCTAACCTGCCTTAACCTAAACTAACGTAAACTAACTTAACCTAACCTGACCCTGCCTTAGGTCATTTTTTTATCTCATTCCCTCACAAACCAACTAAACCAAAACTGACCTAAGTTAACCTTACCTAACCTGCTTTAACGTAACTTAACCTAACTTAACCTGCTTTAACGTAACTTAACCTAACTTAACCTGCTTTAACGTAACTTAACCTAACTTAACCTGCTTTAACGTAACTTAACGTAACTTAACCTGCTTTAACGTAACTTAACCTAACTTAACCTGCTTTAACGTAACTTAACCTAACTATACGTAACTTAACCTAACTTATTCAAGAAAATAAATATTTTCTGATGATACTAATTTAGGTAAAATTTGGTGTAGTTAACTTTGGTATGTTCAGCTAAAGGAAGCTACTAAGGCGCAGCTTAGGAAAATCTTGAGTTAAGACAGGTGGAATATGTGTGCCTGTGTTGGCCTTGCCTGTTAATGTGTGTTGTTTGCATATTTTGAATGACCCTTGCATGTATTTTATGTACTCATTATAATGGGTATCTGAATGCATGTATGTGTGTGTGTGTTTGTGTGTGTGTGTGTGTTTGTTTGTTTGTTTGTTTGTTGTTTTTATGATCATGTTATTATTGCGCTTCAACAACGCAAGGTCAGTAATTACACTAGTCCAACAACAATAAAAATGAGATAAAACTGTGTGTGTGTACAAGTTTTTATATACAGTACTGTACTTTTATCAGTGATGGGAACTTCACGTTAATTATCCAGGTGCTGGAACGTAGTTTAGTTTGCCGAGGGCGGTTGATGTTGATGGGAGCTTCTCTCTCTAGTGCTCACACACAGAGGGATTGAGTGTTTACGTTTCTTATATAACTCAACCGCTCATAGTAACATATTATGTGTTTACATGCAGGATGAGGTCGAAAAACTTATAACTCTTGGTTCACTGAATATCAACCAAATTTTCACTGATATTTGATATGATTCTACTGCTTAAATCAGTTCAGTGGTGGAAGAATTAATACACTGATGAAGGAAATATTGATAAGATTGTCCTGGTTAAGACAGTAATGGAAACGATTTTTGCGACTGATTTTCTCCAACAGTTTAGATTTTGTTTTGTTTTACCCACTGGCCACTGCACTACCTCATGTGGTACCCTGTGAAATGCCTTCTAAAAGTCTACAATTACAAAGTACAGCTCTCTTTCCTTAGATATTTCTCTTGTAGTTGCCTGGCCATAAAATATTGTTTTTGTAGTCCCCCAGAATATACTGTAGTACCATTGCTGGGGGTATACAGGGTGGTATGAGTGCATTTATCCCATCTTCTACCAAAACCTTCACCTTAAAATCATGGTTTGATCGCTCCTGCTCTCTTGTGTGTAGGAAGAGAGATAGGGCATATCAAACTATGAAACTATCTCCTCCTATTACCCACTCTTCTTTCATTACTTCTAGGAATCGTTGTAAGGCTATTCTTCGTAGGGCCAAACGGAATTTTATAAAAAGAAAGACCGCTGTCCTGACTAATTCTTCTGGTCCTTAACCTGAAACATCTGTAATAACTTTACACTCCATCTTTTCCTCCTCTCTTCCGACCTGATAACTCTATAGCCAACTCTCCCCCTGACAAAGTCAATCTCTTTGGCACCTTTTTCTCCTCTAGTTCCACCTTAGACGATTCCAACTCTACGCCTTCTACCCCTGCTCCTCCTACTGAACCTATGCACTTTCCTATAATCTCCACTCGCAGGGTTGCTGGTGTTATCCAGTAAGGCGCACTATGAAACTATTTCCTTCTCCTATTAAACACTCCTCTTTCATTACCGGAATACCCGCTCGTGTTCTGAGGGAGTGTGCTGAAGCTCTGGCTCTTGTGCTTGCTCGCCTCTAGGCTGTCCCTCTCCCATTCAAGCTCCTCATTCAGCAATTGATCATAGTATTTTCTACAAATATCATTAATTGTCTTAATATCAACAACCATATTTCCTAAGCCATTTTTCTCTCTCTCTCACACACACACACACACTGCTCACCAACTACATCCTTGTTTCTACCCACTATTTACCTTTATAATCTTCTTTTCTCCTTTATCACTCTTTCAACTTTATCATGTTACTGTAAATCTGGTTGCGCCCTTAATCAAACTACAGACTATATGTCACACCTAACAGTAAGTGTGGCCCAGCAACTCGCTACACTACCCCACAAGTACAATCAGTTGAATGGCCTATCATTCTGTTACTCCATAAACGACACTATTTTCCCAAAACAGAAGTAAACCTCTAATTTTTACTTTTATCGTCTTCGCCACTAATCAGTTCATTAGCCGCTTGGTCATGTCTTTCTTATGCACTGTTGGCAGGCATTAGGCATGCACTGCCTCCTGAATGTACAGTATCTAATAATAATAATAATAAACGGTTTATTAATAGAATTGCAGTCGGTGGCTGAAAATATACAGACTTACATTAGATTTAGACATAATGATATAATATGCATTGAATACATTTACAGGGCTGCTCCAGTGCTTGTCAAGTCTGGTCTTGAAACAGCTCACACTTGTTGCCATCACAACACTCCCTGGCAGGTTTTTCCAAGCGTTCACATCTCTCACTCTGAAAAAAATACACCCTCACAGTTTTCTGGACTTGCGGCTTCTACAACCTTGAGCTGCCACTCCTTGTGGGGTGGGCGTCTGCCAGCTCCAGGTATGGACACTTGACTGAGTAGTGCCCTTTGACATGTTTATACACCTCAGTTAGGTCGCCCCCTTGCCCCTCTGTAGTATAAGCTAGGCAATTGCAGGTGCTCTAATCTCTGAGTAGCTGAGGTACCGAAGTGCATATCTCGGAGATCAGACTGGGTGACAGTACTCCAGGCAAGGAAGCACCTGACAGTTCCTAGCATATATCGGAGACCAGACGGGGTGACAGTACTCCGGGCGGGGAAGCACCTCACTCTTGAAGATCATTACAAGGGATGGACCGTCTAGATATCTGAATGACCTTCTGATAAGACCTAATAATTTAGTTGCTTGATTCACCCTCCTCTCACAATGGCTCGAGAACTTCAGTTCATTGTCAACATACACAACCAGGTCATTTTCGCATTCAGTCTCTATTAATGTAGTTTCTTTGTCCCATTGGTGCATCCTCTTACACTTCATGACATTGATCTTAGCAGCCATTTCTTCGACCATTCTTGAAGCTCAGAGAGATTTCTGCAGCTCTTCAGTGTTGGTTATTAATTTCCCTAGGTAACTTGGCATCGTCCGCAAACATTTGTATGGAGGAGTGTACAGTATAGCTTCTGGCATGTCATTTATGAAACAAACAAACAACAACGGGCCCAATATACTGTTCTGTGGTACCCCGCTTGTCACAGGTACACATGACGATTTCGTACCACTAATCACCACACACTGCTTGCGATCATACAGAAAATCTCTGATCCATGCTACAACACTTCCCTGAATCCTGTACCCTTCCAGTTTAATTTTCAGCCTTTAATGGGGTACGTTCTAAAGCCTTGGCAAAATCTAGGTATATATTGTCGATATTGCCACCCTATTCCAGAATTTGGATCCAAACATCCAGTACCTTGAGTATTGTGTAAAACAGTAGTGCCCCAGCATAAAACCGTGTTTGGCAATCCTTTACAAAGGGCAACAGCAATATGCCACCAATAGCAATCCAACTAAAGGAGCAACAACAACAGGAGGAAACAACTAAAGTAGAAACACAACAAAACAGTAGTGACAATACATACAAATACAACAATAGTAACACAGTAGTAACCAAGACATAACAGCAGTTTAACAATACAGTAACAGCATAAATAAGTCACAGTAGCAGCATCAATAAAGATGACAATACTGATTGTATATAAGAGGTAGGATCATAAATAAACTCATATACATCTTTAACTATTTATTGTAAGAGTTAACAAGTACAAGGAGAAACAAGGTAGAAACGTTGCTACTTCCCAGGGCAGCCATCAAGGCAATGCTACCACTCAAACTGATAAGACTCACTAATAGCAACATTGGCACAATCAGAATGTGGTATCTTGAAAACATCATCTTTTTCCTCCCACTTTCAATTCTGACACAATCATTACTGCTCCTGTACAACATTTCTCCCTTGGTTTAGTAACTTTGACAGTCACTTAGTACTGTGTCTACACAAGATCCCTCCCACTGACTAGCATCTTTCAACACCATCATATCAATATGGTCTCAAAACATCTTTTTCATACTTAATTACTAATTCTGTAACATTCACGAGTACAATTTACAGGCAATATTTCACTCCTTATTTCTAGTAGCCACAGCACTGCAGAAATAAGTTATACAGCTGCCTTCCTACAGGCAAGGTCTGGTAATCCTCCATACAAGCTGCCGTGGATCACACATTAACCAACTGCTTCCCTTTTTAACACCATTCTGAAACTGAGGGTGAGCATTGGTGAATCTGGGCCTCCAGGATGCTTCCGCCCTTCAGCCTTAACAAGGACTGGGATCTATCAAGTGAATTAATAAAATACATTTAATACCAATAAATTCAGATGAAAATAATACTGTACAATAATGCATTACGTAGTTTAAATCAGAATACAAGCATACATGTTACAAAAAATCAGTACAGTATGACTAAGCCAGTGCTACTTAAATGAACAAGATAAAATCAAATAATATACAACCTTGTGTAACTGTATTAAATGGCTTCACTTTTGCCAGTGTGCCTGAATACAGAATAATTAAAAGAGATCCCTTGCTTAGAGGAAAACTTCACACCAAAATATTTTCTGCAGCCCAAGTTAAAGAAAGCTACTGATATGTTATGAAAATTGATATACCAAGGATATCCAGAACCTGGTCAACCAAGCATCTGATTTTCCAGGTTATCAGACTATTTGTAGAAACATTTTACAATTGTCATGGTCTTACAGGCAACACAGAGCTTTAACCTGAGTTTCTGGATAATCTAGATTTAGATTAACAGGGCTTTCGATAATCGAGGTATGGTGTACTATCCTATATTTACATGATAGAGTTTCTTTATACTGTATATACATGTACAGTAATGTGTGTCTTAACTGAAAATGCACTTAGTACTATAAATTATATACGTATAAATAAATTAAAACTTTATCCACAAATAATAAACAGTTGTATTAAACACGAACTTAATAATTAAATAAAGCTATTAATACCAATATTTACAACCTTCTTAACCAAGTAATATATCCAAACATTGCAAAATTCTCTTAAAGGGTCATATCGGTTTCAAATTTGACACAATACTGTTTTTGGAACCCATGTGTGTAAATGAAAAATTTACAGTGTGTCTCGCCCCAAAAATCGGTTTATTGGTAACTTGGAACCCCTAAACTTACAAAAATTTAAGTGCTGTACAGTACAGTACTTTATGTTGGAAAAATATACATTTACCTAACATACGTAAATTTTTGTGCAATAAGTACAGGGGTTCCAAGTTGGCATGGCACACTATGAATATCTTCTTTCATACAGTATACATGCTCCACAATCAGTGTCTTGCTAACTTTAAACCCCTTATGAGACCCTGTATTCCAATACACACACCTCTGGTTGTCACTCTTCTGTTTTTCAGTATTTTTGATACAATAATGCTTCTCACAGCATCCTAAAATAGTAGTCCCCACTACTAGTTTAGTTGGTATTGGGTCTCCATTTCTAGATACTGTACACTGTAATCATATTAATATCAAAATCATATTCTAGTGACACATAATGAAAAATGTCTTTTTCCTTTTAATATTAAAAATCTAAGTATTAGATGAAGTCATTATTCATTAAACCAAGTACAGTAATACCTCTGTTAGCCAAAATCCCTCTTAACTGGAACTCTCCAATAGTTGGAATAAAAAATTTCTCAGAAAATCATTCCCAAAGCTCGAGTTTTCCAGAAAATTCTGGCTTTGGGAACGATTTTCTGAGGGGCACATTTTTCCAGTAACCGGGAAATTCTGGGGATGGAGGAGGTTTTTTGGGGGGGTTTGAGAGAGAAAAATCAGGCACATTTTCCAGAAATTCCAAGAAAAATTTCCCAGTACTTGTACCTGGAAAATTCCGGCAGTGTGAGATTTTTTCAGGCTTTGAGAGAAGTTGTAATGCACAATTTCTGGAACTAATGAGAAATTTTTTCCATTACCAGGAAAATTCCGGGGATGATTTTTTTCCGGCTTTGAGAGAGTCGTCTTGTGACTCAGAAATCTCTGATTCCTGAAATTGCTCTACACCAATTGTTCCGGCTAATGGAGATATCACTTGTATATGTAATATCATCAAGAAGATATTCAATACAAGGCTATTACAGATAAAAGTTAACTCGTACCTTTTGTGACTTGAACTTACACATGTCAAAAACTTCCACAAACTTTAGGATAAGCCACAATGACCTGGTGCACCAGTGAAAATGTTTAGACCCAGAAAAAGGCAAGTAATCAGACCACCTTAAACCATGCTATACCTTGGGCTCTTCTGACCTTTTTTTCCCCCCAAGCTCAATCAGTGTAACAACAACTACTTATATGCAAATTTACGAGTCTTAAATCCTTAGTCCCCAATGTGAATACTGTACATATTTATGGATTGCCACTACTTGATGACATGCAGTACAGTAACTGGGCTTAAGTTTTCTCATACTTGTAAATTCACATTCAAGTCCAATGTTAGTCTAAAAAATCCTGCAAATGGAATCTTTTAAGTCTGGTTTTAATGTGGATTATTTTCCCACAAAGAACTTTTTTCTCACATACAAGGATATGAGCTACATGCAGTGACCTGCCCAATTAAATGCAAAGCTTTGATCAGACTTTTTACCTCTCCTTGTGCCTTGCACATCTCCACTTTAGCAAACAGTATTTTGACTGAATTTGTTAAGTCTGTGACATTTCAAAGTGCCAAAATGTGTGAAGTCACAGTGTTTGGGGAAGACTTTACATGTGACAACCAGATCTGATTGTGGGAAGTTGATATACAGTACAGTACTGTAATTACTATATGTACAGGCTTTTAAACTTTTGAAAGTACTGTAATTTAAGTTTAGTACAGCATTTAGTATAAAAGCATTTGCATCATACACATCAAATTTTATATGCTACATGCATTAATGTGTCAGTATAACATATGAGCAATTAAAGATAACTCATTTCCAGAAAATACTCTGCACATATAAACAGCCATGAGTTAGATAAAATCCTTTTAAACTGTAAAATACACCTCCTACAAAATATGCACAAAAGTTTAAGTTGTGTATCTAAGCAGAGTTCTTGTCATAAGCCAGTAGTATTCTTCTCATTACCCAACACTTGAAGTTTGGCATTCTTCTCAAACTTCATTACAAAACCATTCAAAAATAGGATCCTTTGTAAAGTATACTACCGGTAATAGACTCAACATAAATAAAACTTTTTCAAAACGAAGTTAGACATTTATGCCCTGGAAATGTAAGTAGTATACAGTAAGTGATGTATTTGGAAAAAAAAAATCAATTTACATATTGTATCAAAAAATTACTAATACTGTACTGTAATAGCAGTAAAATTTAACCAGATAGGTTAACAGTAGAATTCCATCACTCAAAATCCAAAGGCAACACTTTTGACTTGAAATTACTGTACAGTACTCTTTTTGTGTGTGATTGAAATTACCGTAGTGTTGAAATTTTCATCAACTACTGTATCTTCTCTAGATCCATGTATGGCTGTCTTCTGACTGTCAGAATTCTGCCAAGCAACCTACCAAAAACTGAGCTGGGCACTGTACATTAATCCCCTAGGGATCAGTTATTTCCTAATTTTTCTACTATTCCTTAGATTTAAAAGTTTTCAAAATCTTACCTTAAATACAAGTTTGGCAGCCTTTTAAAGAGTACTTTAGCACTATGGATTTACTATAGCTTACGAGTTATTACTGGACGTTCACTAAGGTTAATGCGGTATAGTAAATATCTATACAGCAAAACCTGCACTAGCCGTCATTTCTATATAGCACTAAACTAGCCATGATGGCAGTTTAGGTCAGCCATGTGTGTCTTTTTTCCCATTTTTATTGAGGTGGCAAGCCTGACTATAACCACACTGTAATGGATCAAACAATATCACTTGCATATTGTACAGGCACAGCCATACATCCAATACAGTGGTTTCATGAGATTTGGGAAAAGTTAACATTCTGAGGCTACATTTACCTTTTATGCAAAAAGCACAAACAATTCTCATCATTTTCAAATTGTCATGATGATACTTAATTTCATAATTTCCTACAATTTCAACAGTGTGGTGAAGTATTATAAAATTCACAACTTGCCATTTCACTTTCTATGACAGGATAATAGTACAGGTAATCCAAATTTGAAAATGTAGGTAAACTAGCATAGCCTTAAAATGTTGGGTGTTCCCGACACACTTCTCCATTAAGTGCACCACTGAACAGAGAAACACATGAAAAAGTTACCCATTTTTATTTTGGCCGGATGTTCAAAGTCTGGCTGGAAGTCAATAGTGCTGTTTACTAATTCCTCTGTTCAGTAATTCCTGGTCACCAACATCATTTTACTCTTCCTTCTACATACTGTATATTGATGTCATAACCAAACAACTTTTCACAAAGAAGTTAATCTTTGGGACAATAAATAATTACAGGTTTAACTTTGTGCATCATGATTTGACATTGATACAAAAAAAAAATCCCAATGCTGTTTGGTGTTGTTATATATCTACACCTGTTGTTATTCCACCAATAACTAAAACCCGGGTAACAGAACTTATCATTTACATATCTCAACATCAACACAGTTACTGAACAATTTGGGGGTCTATACACACAAGGCATCTGTTAATGTGAAGAGATTCCAAGGGGAGGTAAGCAGTCATCCACAAATTATTACATGGATCACAAAATTCATAAACTATAACTTTGATTTTGATTTCCTAATTGATACATTTTTTCCTTCAACAGGCAGAGAAATGATAGAAAATTATAGAGGTTAACTTTGAGACACAAAACTTAATAAGTTAAGCATCAGGACAGTACACAATAAAAAAAATTCAAGCTTCATCAACACCACCACAGTGAGTATTGTTTGGTATAGGTACAGTACTTTAGTAACTGACTAATAAATTCATATTTCTTAAACCTTACTAGAAAGGGAAAATGTCGTGTATTGGAACTATGTAATATTGTGTATGACTCTAGAGGGCAATATCTACCTTGAGTTTCATCGTACAGTACTGACTTCAACTACCACAGTACCAAAAATCTCCGAGGAGAGGTAATCAGAACTTTGACTTGCACATCACCATTTGATTTTCTTGATCCGTCTACAGCCAATCAATTCTTTAACAAGACCAAAAATATCACACTATGATGTAAAGGTTAAATACTCTGGTTAACACAACCCAAAGAGGTTGGTGAACTACAACTACCAGCAGAATGAACTTTGCTGCTCTCAATAAACCAGTCTAATTAATTCTTAGCACTGGGTGTATTTATACAAGATTTTCTTTTTCTTTTAGTACTGGTACATAACAACATCGTATTAAAGGACAATATTAATTAATTATTTTTACCAAAAACTGTGTTAACTGAATATCACAGTTCAATCTATTTCATAATATTTATGAAAATAATATTTAAATACTGTAGCCTCATTCGATTCAACCATTATTCAGTTTTGGCACACAAGAGGTCATTAGTAAAAGAAAATAATAATAATAACAATAATAATAATTATAATAATAATACACTTATTAATAATATTAAGCCTCAGTAGAAATTTAGTGCATGGGTATGATGATCTTGAACTCAAGTTTACAAAAATTAGCTCTTAAACTAATTATTAAAGAAAAAAAAAGGAGCATACTTATAGAAAATGGAAGCGCAGTCAGCAAAGTTCTCTGCCATAGACTACTAACACGGGAGGGATGTGGGTCTGGAGGGAATGTTTACGACTGTATAATAGCAGCGGCGAAGACATGGATGGACACGCATTATTGCATCGCATCAACTATAGTACAATAATTCTCATCAACTAGATTTTAGTAATTGGAAGCATTAATACAGAACTATTTGCTTTTAATTAAAAAACTAAAAGTACTTCTACTTGATCACTAGCTCTAACAATCTTCTAGGTCTTTTCATTAATTTCATACTGTATATGATTGTCCTACAAATACCAAGTTTTCTAATAAGTATACAACGCATTAATTTCCATGTGCAAGCTTACACTCTTGTCTTGTAAGACTGTAGCAGGATTTTACTGCTTCATCTGATAAAATTAACAAAATATTAAATCTACAAATTCTAATAGATTTTGAAGCATGGAACTGCTTAAAACAGTCTAGTATACAATAAATTATTTAGTTTTAATGCCCTGATTTGATACACAGTTTTTATTTTGTCCAAACTTTACAGGATAATCTGCATCTATGATCTCCTGAAAATGTTTAACTTAAAAATATCTACTGTAGTTGTTTCCAGCAGAATAAAGTGGACTGATGCTCACAAAATCACATTTTATGATTAGAAAAGGATGAAAACTTGACCAAAGAATTGTCACCACTTAGGTAGTTGGCACCTAACAGCCATCAAACTACAGAGTATGACAGTGGTTACCTTGACACTAATAGGACAATGGTTACCTTGTCACTAGTATGACAGTAGTTAGCTTGACACTACTGTAGTATGACAATGGTTATTTCAATATTTGTGGTAAAAATTCTAACAAACTGAACAAAATACTAATTCAAACATTTACATAGCATATTAATATACAATCTGACTATTGGTAAAAAACATTTTGTGAATCCCAGAACATCCTTCAAAACCCATTCATCCATAGTTAACATGTTACAAACTTAATAAATTATTCACATTCGCCATTCTCAGTGAAGGGTATAAGGGGGATAGTCATAAACTCGTTCGTTCCCAGCCATAAAATTAAATTTCAAAAAGGTTAATCCTTCTTTATGACTGGTGCAAGATTTCAAACATAATTTGCAAAACTAAAATTAAATTAAATCCATTCCAAGGGCAGCAGGAGATGCCCTGTATCGTACTTTATAAACTCTAAACATAAACATATGTAATTTATTAACAAAATAGATTCTTCTGAAAGATTGTCAGAGAAACAATATATCCGGAGTCCTTATGCATTTTGGAGGGCTAGTGAAGAGTGCATTTTCATGTGAGATACATTAGGTTGGGTCAATCTAACACAGTACAATCTCAAAAATCCAGAAAGCTTGTGATATAAAAGACAATGATTTCCTGGTACAAAAATCTTAACCAGAAGTACCGTAGTTCTTAATGGAAGAAATGCAACCCTAATTCAAATAATTATCCCAAAGTCTCTGATAAATTCTTTTTTATTTTGTAGTCATCAGAATTGATATGGGAACTGGCAATCTCAGAAGCTCTAAGACCAAACCAGAACCTACCTTCAGTTCAGTTAGCTTGACTTGTTTAAGAGTAATATTTTGGCATTTTTATTCAAATCATTAAGTGAAATGTATAGTATTTGAGGTTAAAGCGAAGAAATTAAAAAAATTGCCAATTGACTCGAGAGGCCACTTTGGAAATATGTACAAAGCAAAGAGAGCTAGTTGAATGTAAATAGGCTGCTGAATTTGTAACGTAAATTATGACGGGGTTTGAAAAATGTGGGAGGATTCACAAAGTTTTCCAGCGACTCAATTGTGTGTGTTAACAGTTAATGTAATTGGTTCAAAACATTGGCCCATTCAACCTGTATTACTACAGTTAACTTAGGTCATCATACCCCCTGTTTAGTAAGATGATTATATAGGTTCCATCTAGCAAAGCGATGAAAATCTATTGGGTCGCGCTCTGAAATCTCATACCAGCCATACATGTGGCCATGTCTTTATTTTCTTATCATCATAGTTATGGCAATGTGGTCTGCACTTAATATAGAGTTTTCCAGAAAGATCTGGAGAACTTTAAAACTTTAATAGCTAATTAAACATGAAATAGACATGCATTAAATCACTTTGTTTTAAGTAATACACCAGCTCAAAAAGTTTTATTGACAATTATTTGTTTATTCTCAGGAGTGTTACCTATTCACTGTATCACCAGCAATGGAATATGAAATATCTACAAGAAAAGCTGCAGTGTGTGGCCTCTTTTATCAAGACCACATCCAACAACCAACCAGACTCAACTACCACACAATGTACCAAAAGTTCACCCATCTCATATCAGTGTTGGTGAAGGGCATTACAATCACATATACCACACACTGCATCTCTTCTGGTGATGTCATGGTCTGCTGTTGTGATCACACTGTACAGTATATGCAACACACTTGTAAAAACAAAAACAAATGTCAACAAAACTTTGAGTTGATCGATCACTTAAAACAACAATTAAAGTTGTTTAGTTCTTACTGGAACAACCTGTACATGAGGCAAGCTGTCTTGGAGCAAACCTTTGTAACTGAGATTGCATTAGAATTTAAATATACCTCATGAATGCTATTTTACCTGGTTCTTATGTACTATATTTCAAAATGCCGTGTATGTTCTCCTGCAGAAAACAAGAGCTAGGGATTAATTACACAGTGAATGAAATTGAATAGTAATTGCTCATAGGACAGTGTACACTTATGGAGATCTTTTAACCCCTTTGACATTTTCGTTTATTGTGTTGCAAAAAGAAGCTGCAAACAGCTGTGGAGGGATTCTGTAGCACATAGAACTTATACAGTACTCCTTTTATAAACAGACAAGCAAACTCAATAACCAGGTTAAGGAAATTATTGGAGTCAGATTGGGCTGAGTGAAGTCAGTGACATTGTTCATACATTTTAAAAACTGGGATAGTGAGAGGTTACAGTTAGAACACTGAGGGGCTAAAGCTCAAGCAATGAGACCTTACTGCTAAAAGTGAGGTTATGGCTACAATAGTCAGAGGTAACATTTACAGTCGTGAAGGTTACAACTACAATAGTCAGAGGTTATAGCTGTTAGGAGAGGAGTGGCATTACAGCATTCTGGAAGGAAGTGACTCTAGAAGTTGGCACTTTAAGTTAACTATGCAGGTTTGTTGGCATAGTCTAACAATAAGCATTGTGCATGGTGGTGAAAGAGTATGAAAGTTTTCATGAAAACATGACCAAAGTTAAGTCTACCATTATATCAGTCATCTTTTCCTAAGTTAGCGATCATCATTCAGTGATATCATAATATTTTCTAAAATCCTTATCCATTTGCTCTGTCATGTACTTTTCTCTGTATCTTTTAAATAATAAACTGCCCAAATCAGTACCTTATGACAATATTATTTATTGTCATTCTAACTTAAATACATACAGTACATATATTCATCTTACCATACCATTTGCCCTTCAATATAATATCAGCAATACCTCCCTACTACTGTACCTTTCCATACATGTTTGTCAATAAATAAATAAAGAAATTTGCATGGCCTGAGGTATTATTGGGAAAGGAAAACACATACAGTACACATCCTTAGAGCAATTACCAAAGCAAATGCACATCAAATACTGTATATTGGTTTAAATGGGATAATCAGGAGGAATAGGAACACGCTTATTAGACAAACAATTATTGGCACATATAATGTTCAAGAGGTTGACAAATGAGAAATATTATTATTGTAATAATAAACCCTTAAGACACAATGACATGGTAAGGAATCACTTTGCTTTGTATCTAAACCCACATAACTTCACTCTTCTGATGCTCACTGCACAAGGTAGACTTTACAGCAAAACTAATGATTACATTGTGAAGTGGGTGATCAACTGAAAATTGACTATATGAATGCTTTGTGATTTCATACATCAGTTGAACTCATGTCAAAAATGGTTGAGGGTATGAGGAACTGTTTGTGTGTGTGGTGTTTCTATTTGCAGTTCCAATCCTTTTCTGTGGCTTTCTACACATTTCTTGCAATATTCTACCGTTTCCTTATTTCCTTGATCCATCCCATGCAATAACTGGGAGTAGAGCAAAGATAACAGATAAATAAATAGACATTTAAATTGGCCGCCTCCTTCTACTACTATTGCTGCTTATTATCATTTTCTCATTAAATCCAAAATGCAATCCCAATATTCTGGGACAGTTCCAAAGATCAACATAGTATTACAGCACCAATGCTTCCCATTTTCCAGTCTCATCCAGTTCTTTTTGCTCCTAACTCTCTTTAGTTATCATTGTGAGTAACATCCCTCAGCAAATTCTCCCAAGCTAAGGGATCTTAAGCTGGGAGTCAGACGACTTCTACTTATTTTATTAAATTATATTTAAAATCAGGTGTATAGTATTTCATCAGCATAAGATCTAAAAAGTTATTCATGTCCTGAAGTATTTAATAAATTTTCCAATCAACTAAGCTTCACCCATTTATGGAATCATAAGTAACAGTTACAATTCAAAGTCAATTTGTTGCTGATGACTAAGTAAACTGGATTGCCAGAGCGGTGAATTCACCATCAACTTTTATTTTCAAGATTTAAAGTCAATCACATTAAATGTTGATGAAGAAAAATTGGCAGTGACTCAGCCTATATCACAGCATGATCCACTTAACAACTAGCAGCCAATCAATTTCTTTGAATTATGACCATTGCTAAGGACACCAGAAGTAGGCAATGCTTAGTCAATACCCCAAATATCTCCCTGTACTTGATACATTGAACAAATTATTCAATGAAGGTCAATACTGTACGTATTTGATTTACATGACAGGGATGCAATGAGGAACCTGCAGTGTGAAATATTTATCTTTGTCAGTCAGAAAAGATGTCCTAAGACCCGACTAGCAAAGCTAGAACTACAAATCTCTGAAACTGGAGTTTTATGATATAAATCATCCTAATGGTGCAATGTAATTTCTGGCTAACCCTTTAAAACAATATTAGGCTGCACCAGTGATCCAAGACATTACTTCATCCAAAAAAATATACAGTACTGTACTGTTAAGGTACAATGGAATCATTTCATTTCATGAACCATTTCCCGAGATCATATCTCTTTTTTTAATCATTCTTGCCCAGTGCAGCACATCAGAAGTGTGAAGAAATTACATTACATCAGTAATCTCTTTTAACATACTGTATACTTGAAATTTTGACTCTTAATTTATACTAATTATAGAATAACATGCACATAATACTGTATGACTCCCTGGACTCATATCTTTGGCACCGAGTGTGGAAGAGACTTAAAAGTACAAAGCAACATTTATGTCCACATTTCACAATACAAATTCATCAAGACTGTAATTTCTCATCAAACATATACAGTACACACCCATTCTTGACAATACAAATTCATTAAATCTCAAAAATTTCTCATGGAACACAATCTAATTCAGTAATCATCCACAGTTAATTGGAGCACATACCTGATATCATGAGTCTTGTAAACCCTTAACCACAGCAGCAAGTGTTCCCTTTTCCATGAGCTCTGTCTGGAAACCTAAAAATGTCATCATCCATTTCCTCCCACATTATCATTACAGTCTGGCTAGTCAATTAGTTTTAAATGGCATGCCAATGTATCTTTACAAAAATACAATACCAATTCATGTAAAACATCTACACCTCAATCACCCAGGCACTATCTACAATCACTGCTCTTGAGGATCTTGAACATTTTGTATCCAAGTACTGTACTGTATTATTCATTTCAGGCAAGACCATGAACAAACAGTAACATTCTGTACATAATCCAAAACTTTACAATATGATCTCATTTACTTTCACTTGACACATTTCAGTTAGTACTTTTTCAATAATACTTGTGCAATTTTGGTTGGCACATACAGTACAGTGTAATTGAGGCATAGAGTGCACCTAATGGCTAGGCCTATGAATTCTGTCTGTCACTACTCTGATAATCTCTAAATTTAAAATTAAGTGCATCTTTGACACAATATTCATAGTGTACTTCATATTTTACAGGGGTAGTGGAGTAGAATTTTTGCCTCCATTGGCACTGAAGCACATCAGTCCATGATACTGTTGACAACCTGAGAAAACTTTTTGAACATATATCACATACTATAAAATCATATAAAAGGGGAGCCTTTCAATGCTTCCACCTTAATAAAAAATTAAAACATCATTTCAAAATCTCCTGCAAAAATTATCAAGAACAATGCAGTAGGCAACAGCATTTTTGCAGCTTAAAATACCTGGAATGTTTATGAACAAAATATGTACATCATTCTGCAAAACTTTGAGCTACAAAACTTTAATTTACTTGACCCCTAATACTCATAAAATCCACCGGCTACATCTCCCCGTGCCCTTCGGTTCACGGGCACATCAGCACGTGTTCTTATCAGAGGTACTGTTCGGTAGACATAATTATCCTCGCAATTTGTACTAGATTACACCCTACGTACTGGCATTGGAATGTTCTCATCTATTGGAGAGATGAAAGAATTTTTTCTACAGAAATTTGGGTTCTATTAAAAAGAGAAGATGGTCGAACTTGGAGCAAAACAAAGTGTGGTGCAGCAGCTGCACAGCCTTCTACTACATTCCTGTACACTGATAAATTATGGCATCTACTAAGGATCCTCTAAGGAACTTGCTATGAAGAGTGAAGATTTACTAGAAGGATTCTGAAAATTGACTGAAAAAGGTTGAAATTGTCATGATTAATTCACTAAAATATGCACTAGAAAGATTACTAAGAGTTATGGAAGATGCACAAGGTTTGGCAAAAGATTGGCAACTGGGTTTCACTAAGAAACTACAACACAATCAGTAACAGTCAGACTTAGTTGTAAGCTCATAATCCATTACTTTCTCATCCATAAATGAGACATTGATCATAACAGGGAAGATATTCCAAGGCCGATCACTGATTATGTTGTAGATTCCAAACAAGAATCTATACATGACCTTAGGTAAACCTGACAACAATTCCAGTTTTTAGACAAGCTTCACTAGAGGGTCTCATGAATCACAGGTTGAAGCAGTACCATGTGTTCAGCACCCTTGATGGGTAGTCTGAAGATGGTGTAATGCTGGATCATGAGAGGGACTGAGGAAAACTGCTTGGTTCCCCTTCCTAGCATGTACTGACCAGTCTTACAGTCAAATTGTATCCGAAGGTGCATGAATCCACGAGCAGACCTGCCAAGTGCAGAGAAGTAATCAATATCTTTTTTCCACTGTTCGAATAACCACAGAAAAGTGCATACTGTTTATCCATGAAGAGATGTTCAATATAATAAAAAATAATCAAGCATCTCTTTCTGTTGGTCAAAAAAGAAAAAGAAGTAAATCTGTCAGGCATAGTACATGGTACAAGCTAAACATTTCTTAACTATCATATCTTCTCCATTGCCAATATAGGAACACCAAGGCTAAAAAGATATCAAAACAAATCCATTTATTCTGAAAGGCAAATCTATCCATATTCCTTGAAGGCTTAACTATTTGCAAAGTACCTGGTATGTTGTATTTTTAGTGAGACTTCTATCACTACTATTCATCATGAATTTCTTAGTCCATACAATCGTAACATATATTGAGGTATGCATCTTTCTAAGGATTTGGACCTGAATTTTTCTTAATAGGGGACTATTTATCTGGCATCCTGGAACGCTTCCAAAACTGGCTATGACCTAGAACAAATTATTTAAATGAGCGCCATAAGTAATTTCTGGGCTGACCGGGGATACAGTACAGGTGATTCTAACCATTCTCCACCTATGAGCTATATCTTATGTCATGTTATGTTGATCTTTTCAACTCTGATTTTCGGGTAGACACATGTAATTTTCCTCATTTTCTTTAGTTAGTTATGTGCATATAGTACAGTCCTTAATTCAGAAAGTGCAAAAAGAAATAATTATTATAAGGTATAAAGTTTTACATGAAGCCATGTGGCTAGTGTGTGGAGGTCAGAGGATCTGCGGCTGAACACTGTTGTTAAGGGCGTTGTTGCGTTGCTAAGGCGAGAGTATCAGGAGCGACTGCGACACAGTGTGTACGGTAACTTGTATCATTTTTGCTCTTTTTATATTTTCATTATTGCTGTACTACAGGTATTTATATGATTTCGTTGTTGCCGTTTATGTGTCTACAATTTTAAGTTTCAATGTTACAGTGTACAGTTTAAGCTACTTTTAGGGGTAAATAAATCTAGTAATCTGAACAAAGGCTTCACAGCCAGTTACAGAGGGTTTACTGTATATTTGAGGCCCGAGGCTCCAAATTCCAGAAAAACACTATCTGACAACCACCAGGTCCCAAGCATGCTGTATAAATGATCCCATACCTGTACACATTAAAGTCTGAAATATAAGACAATAATTCCTATGTGGTGACAGTATCATAAAGATGATGCCTTAATCTTCCATGATACTGTTGGGGGATCCAGGCAGAAGTTTGACCAAACATTAAAATTTTTCTATAATAATTACTACTTGTTATCTATACAATACAGTACAGTACTTACTTCAGTCCTAAAGAGTACTCATGTCGTGAGATGTCCAAAGAGCGCACGAGGTAGCTGCCCTCAGAACAAGACCTCAGTGTAGCCTCTGCCTCAGTTCTGCTCAGTGCACCATGATACCATCTGTAAGAAATAACTTTGTGAATAAACTAAAATTGTAATACAGTAATTTAATAATTTTTGTATAAAACATACTACCCTGTACAGTAGTTGCTGTGTGCAATAATTCACACACCACTTTTGTTATCTTCTCTCTCAAGTACTTTATCTAGATTCATAAATATCACCAACAAATTATTCCCTTTCTCCAGGACACTTTTCACTCATCCTCCTCAATGCAAACACTTAATCTACCTTTTTTTTTCTTTCTTGAACCATAGTGTTTTTCCTCCCAACACACTCTATACACACCTTAATTACTATATCTCCATTTTGAACCTACCATTCAACTTCCAAAGTATAATTAACAAACTTACTCTCTAAAATTTTTGCATTAATTCTTATCAACTTTCCGTTTATACTGGGGACCTATACACACATTCTGCCATTTCTCGAGTACTGATCCTTCTGTCATGCAAAAATCTATTCACTCATAAAATTAATGAAGTTTCACTGTACAGTACATTACATTAGTGTATAGTCCAAACATAAACATTAAATGTATATAAACACATGATGACCACTGTAATATTACCTGAGGCCCTCGGTGCATGTTTACAGTAAGGCAAACTTTTCAAACAAACAGATGTCTGCCCTATACAGTATACTGCAGTTCACCCATGTAAGGTTGTACTGAATGGTAACAAACCCTTGAGACTTAAAACACAAATTCAGAAAAAATAACTAAATAGGTTCCTCTGTACATATAAAACATAAAAACATTACAACAAATAACTACTCTACCAACAGGTGCACTAAACCTTACACAAAAATTTGCTTTATCACAAGGAATACTTCTGACAAAAACCCAACAAAGATCTTACCCTTGTTTCATAAGAGGAAGTTTGACATCAACCTTTTCCCCTTTTATGGCCATTGCTGCACACCCCAGGTCCAAAGCCAGTCCACTTTTTCCTCTGTTACTAGCATCTGTAATATTAACTAACACTTACTAAAAGAAATATGGTTAGAATTAGTAATGACACACTGACAGAGGATCTTCCAAAACACTGAACCATCTTTGTACTCTAGTATTCATAATTTTCTCAGATGATAAACTAGCAATTCTCACACTCCATACCCAAATACCTGTATTGCTTGTGTACATTATCCATATTCATTCTTTTACCCAATCCAGTAACTGCTGTACAGAATATACCACTCAAGCCTTTTTGTCTTCTTTCCATTCAAAATAATTCCACAGACCCCCTTCCTTTCTCAAATACAGTTACTGTATTTGTTTTAACTTGCATATGTATTTATCTGTCTACCCGGTAACTATTTACAGAACACTTTTCCTCAACCTTAAAACAGGAAACTTTAACTAAATTTATAAATCATTTAGCTACCGGGTATGCAAATTGATTTATTAAACGTGTAAAATATCGGTACTGTATATATAAAAAATCTAATAATCAATAACCTGTACTTTGAGTAAGGCCCAACACATCCTCCATCCTACCATTATTTCTGAACTTAGGTGTGCCCTGATCATCACTGCTCTCTGCCGACGACCGAGTATCCCAGTCACTTGAGTTGGATGAGGAAGTGCCACTGCGAACCTCTAGAATCTGAAAAAGTAAAATTTCTAAGTTAATGATGCTATCTGTTGAGTGTTGCATGGTGGCATCCTTCCACAGTAAACAGTTGAGCCAAGTCCATGATATTAATAGGTTAGTGACCAGCTCAGTACACATTCACACTCACATACATACCACATGTAAGAGACCACTTTGTGCTCTATGCTATACATTCATGTTATTATTCATTTAAGGTTACAGTAATGTTTAAAGTGTTTGTAAATATGGTTTCAGTTGAAAGCAGGAAGTCAACCCTTATGTAGAAGAGGCAGAATTTAACAGTGAAATTGCAGCTGAAACTTTTGATAGAGCATTAAAAAGGTGTCACCACTAATTTGTTAATAGAGTAGTGTAATTTAAGCAAGTCAACATTTTAAAACACAATGCATACTAAAGAAATTTTTTTAATTTTTTCAAAGGAAATGAAAACAAGTACAATTTGAGAAATTTTTTTGTAAACATAAGCTTTCATTTGAAGGTGTGGACGAGGCAACATTCTAGTGGTACACCCAGCTGAAGCTGTTCAAGTTTGTGGTGTAGAACTTCAGTGCTGTACAATGACTTACATGGCATTTAGGTCATCAAAACTTTGAAGCCAATGTTGGGTGGCTACAAGGGTTTCATATGCACCATGGCATAGTGAACAAAGTGGTAACTGGTGAACTTCTCACAGCAGATACAGAGGCTTTGGAATTTTTTTTAAATATCACCTGGTAGATGTAAAAGACAAAAATATGCATACAAATTATGTGTAGTCAGTGGCCCCATGAATGGTTTAGCTACAGTATGAATTATAATTATAAAAGAGCATACTCATATGTAATGTATAATCATTGCTAACTTCTTAAGGGTGATAGAAAGTAAGGTTCAGGTATGTCAAAAGCACATACCAGTATGATCCTACCCACAAACAAGTTTTTAAATATACATACCATAGCTACTGTACTGTGCAGTACTATGAAAGTTATAAAACATTCATGTTCAATACTACATAACATAACCTACTCTAGAAATGAAGAGATTAAGCTTAAAATGCTCAGGGGATGCTACTGGATAGTGCTGGAGGTCAAGGCAGTGAGAGGGCATGGTTCATGGTAGCTGACCGTTGTGATGTGGCAGCCAGGTGGATTTCTATCTCTGTTTCAAATTTAAACTTTTTCTCATTTTCTTGCTAGGTGTGATCATCAGACGGTAGCATAGAGTGCTTGGGAGCCAATATAATAAACATAGAAATAGATCAGATAGCATGGGAGCTATGACAAGTGGTGCACAGAGCCTGGTGACAGTTCTGGTGTGGCAAGAGATCGTGTTCCTGCTTCCTGGGCGGTAGGCCTGCACATCCAAGATGGTTGGTGGATGATTCTACCCACCTAAAAAAACCCTCATAGAACATCAGTTCAAAATAAGGGTACAAATCAATTTGTCCAATATTTGTGAGCTGGTAATTATAAAGTTGCGCATTGCCAGAGTTATCACATTTTTTTGCTCCTGTGTTATTCCAGATATAAGAATTAAACTTCCAAAAGCTTAACTTCTCAAACACAAGTGACAAGAAAATATTTCAATAATATTAGAATCTGTGTGATAGAGTCATGCAAAGAAAAATTGTAGTGAGGTAAACGGAATTGCAATTTCCCCACATTCCTTGGAGTAAAAATAGTAAGTCAATGATTTGAGTCATGCAGACATACTTGTAATCTGGAGACAGCGGGGTTGACTGTGGGTTGGAAGTTTGGAGGAAGACTTAGTCGTGCGTTTCCTTCACTTGTGGCACCACTGGAAGAGATTGAGGAGTTGCTGCTTGACAAACTTGTCTTTCCAATCTTTGCTGCAGCCAATCGACGACGTAGTTTAGGCATATCAAAGGGTAAGTCACTGTAGGGAGCTTCATGTTTCCTACTTAAATGGAGGCCATACTCAATGCTTATGCCACTGTCTGATCCTTGGACATCACCTTCTCTTGGAGGACCAGGAAGAATGTGGTGAAAGTTACGAAAGTCCTCTTGGATGTTTCTGGGTTGTAGAGGAGTCTTCTGACGTGACATAGCAGAATAAAATTCTGCCAGATCTTGTGGGGAACTTTTCTGAGAGAGGCAACCATTTTCTGATGATGGCTCCTGGGACTTATCCGAAATAGGCGAGAGGATTTGAAACTTTGCTGACTGGATAAGTGATCGGTGGGGAGCACTGAGGTTTAGGGCAGGACGGGATAGGAGGGATGAGTCACTCCCCAAGGACGAACTCTTATAGCTACTCATTGCCGACTCATTGCTCGCTGTGCTTTTGCTACCATCACTCATGGAACTTCGTAAACTCTCAAGGCTCGACATAGTACTTCCTGTCACAACACTCTCAATGCTAGAGTATTTCACATTCACCCCAGGGGGAATAAAACAAGACTTTATATCCCTCCGAGAGGAACTGTCAAGAAGCACCTCCATGGAGGCATTGAGGCTAGTGTGACTCTCACAGGGCGGTGTATTTCTACTCAACCCCAGTGATTCTTTACTCAAACTTTTCTTTATAGGGAGGTTCAGATCCTTTTGTCTTGGAGGACTAAACCAACTGGAGGGACTTTTATCTGCAATGGGAGTTTTTTTGCAGAATTTAATGGGCAAAGGGGCTGTACCAGGAGGACTTCGCAATTCTAGGGGTCGTAAAGGCAGTCTAGCAGGGATGGCCTGAGATTTACTGAGCTCTGCTCGCTCTTTAACCTTGTTTTTCTTCTTCCTCGAACTCTTCTTTCCCTTCTCAGTTTCTTTGAAATAATCATCACTTTGCATATGAAGAGTGTCCAAGTCTGCAGACAGCTCTTTGGCATTCTGGCCTTCTATGTAATCCTCAATGTAGTCATCTTCATCCAAGGAATCTGACCCACGATTGAGAATTTCATCATCACTCTTAGACAATCCTATGGGCCGGACACGATGCTCAGTTATGTGGTGAGTGGATACACTGCGTGCCGGGCGAGGTGCTACGCCACGGCCTCGATCACGACGACGACCCCCCTTTGGAGTATAAACACCAACCTGCAAATTAAACATATTATAGTTTTTGACTGGTAAGATTATCAAATCATCTAATGAGCCCACAAAAGATGAGGAAGCAAGATTTCCTTGTACAGTTAATATTGTTTTGTTTGTTTTTCAGTAATATATCCTTAATACAAGGTAATAATATACTGTACTGTAATCAAGAACTGTCATTATGCACAAGCAAATACAAAGTTTCCTCCCCCATTCACCTCATTATTAAAACCATAATTCCAGTACCATAGATTATTGGCCAGCTAACCAGGAAGTATTCCAAACACCAAATAATATACAGTAAGTCCTCGTTTAACGTTGCCCCCAATAACGTTGTTTCGTTATAATGTCGCTATTCTTTAGATACCCATGATTCGAATAACGTCCCGCTGATTCAGTATAATGTCGTCACGGACTACTTTGTACGGCTCATCACCCCCTCTCAATGCTCTCACCCGCAGAACGTCACGGCGTCGCCAGTCTTTGTTGAGCTACCATAGCGTTCGTGAGTGTTTAAGTGTTTTTGCGCTTAATACTGTACAGTACTCTAACCATTCGAAATGGCTTACAAGTGCCCATCGAGTGCTACTGATGCTAGTGTTGTGAAGAATCGATGTAAGACCATTAGCCTTGCTACGAAAATGGAGGTTTTAAACCGGGAGGAGGAGCCACCCGCCGGGTCTCGGTGACTCGCCACCCTCCTCCTCCACTCCACCACCTACCACACACTCGTAACACCAACTCCGTCCATCAGTGAGTACAATACAAAATGATTTAGTTTATTTATATATATGCATACCTGCACTATTTTCTATAAAAATGCCATTGAATTTCTGTATATGTAATGTATTTTATGGGGCAAAGGGAGGCTGGGGAACGTAACTCCCGTACTTTATCTATTTCTTATGGGAAAAATTGATTCAGTAAACGTTGTTTCCGTCAATGTCACGCTTTTCAGGAACAGAACCACAACGTTAAGCGATGACTTACTGTAGTATGAATTGTTCTTACTGATACCTTTAGAAATCTTTGCTTATGAAAAGGCATTTGATGCAATGAAAACAGTACTGTATTAGTTATATTTTAAGAACCCTGGGATCTGAAGAAACTTATCCTGACATTATTGTGTTACACACACACACACTTTGTAATTGTATATTTTCAGCCTTCCGGCTGCCATGCTCTTTCAATAAACCGTTAATTATTATTATTATTATTTACACACACACACACACATTACAGTATACTGGTAGGACTCAAATTCGTAAAAGTGGAGGAAGCTTTCGTTAAATTAAAAATAAGTGTTAATTTATGAAATTTGTACAAGTTAATTTTTGTATTTTGAACGTTCGTTAAGCAAGGAATACCTGTACTGTATATACAGTATTGTCTGGATTTACACGGTTTTTGTTTACGCGTTTGGTCATTTACCCAGTGCCTTGCCAGAATGAAATGTTTTAATTACGCGGGAAGCGGCGCGGGCAGGGTGCACACAAGGTCGCCCAGTCATCAAAACATTACCGAGTTCTTCACCCGCCACCCACCACAGCCGGCCCAAGTCAGTGATAGTGAGGATATGGACTTTGAGGGGTTTGACAATGAGGCCCTGCAAGCCTCTGTGGTGGATAGTGATACAATTGATACAAGTGAGGGCCAATAATCTGCCCTCTGCCTCGGAACCAACCCCCCATCCCCGTGTGCCCAGCCATCTTTTCTACTCACGTAAGTGTTAAAAAACCTAATATTATTGATATTTCTCTTAAATATTAATTGTATGTGCATACCATCATAAAATTAAGATGTTATTTTTACTACAACATACGTATTGTGTTGGAAAAAATGGAGTTTGGGAGTCGGCCCAGTCTCTACTTCAATTAATCCCTTATGGTCTGTTATTTCGTTTACGCGTTTCTCGTTTTACGCGGACCTCCACAGGTTCAATTGGCCGAGTAAATGCAGACTATACTGTAAATGAAAATGTTTAGCTTATCAATGTCTAGTATAGTCATAAATGGATGCCTAAAGAGTTTACTAATGAAAGTTTGGTTGCAGTACACCCCTCCCCTAACAACTTTAGTTACTCTATGGAAATCATTTGGCTACAGACAGACAGCACCATGAATATACTGTAAACGTATTACCTGAACTGTTTTAGGTCACAGGAAAAACAATACTGCTTTGATATGATATCAAGATAAACTTGATGAACAGAGTATTGACCAATGATATGTCCTATATTCAGTACAGTACACCAATGTCCTTTAACTTAAAAAAAAATAAAAGTTGGTTAACTACGAATGTGGACACACTTGTCTTTGCTCAAAAATATTACTTCACAATTGTATGACTACATGCATACAGTTCTTTTAATTTTAAAGCCAACTCATGAGTAACATCACCTGGAACTTAGGATCAGAAGAGGTAGAAGCAACAACAGTATTGCCAGGAAAAGTTCTGGCTCTATGGCAACCGTTTCCACTATTGTTGTTTTGCCCATTTTGTCGAGAACGACGGCGTAAGTTCAAGAGTTGGAGGATAGGATGGTTGGCAATGCGGTCTATCAGGTCCCCTCCGTCCTCGTTCTTCTTTTCCACCTGCCGGAAGCACAGCGAAGGCTGAAGCAGTGTTAGTTATGTTTGTATCTGGATTATCACCTGATCATAACCTTAGATAACAAACTTAATTAAGACCTAATATTTTCTTTTGCTTACCATGGAAGTTTAATATGACTGAGCACACAGCACAAAACATCTTGCACTGCAAAGAACACTCAGTCTGGTCCTGAACTCTTGTTTCATTGGCTGTGCTCCTCTACACACCTACTGTGGTTCCCCCTTAATGGAGATTGAAAAGCAAAAACTTATAACTCTTAATAGTACCAAAGAGCATGAAATAATATAATGTGCCAAGTATCAAAAAATATATAGTGAGCAAAAGTCCTTAACAAACTATATAATTGTTGATAAGAGTATTAGCAGAAATGTGAATGGTACAAAATTAATAACAGGAGTAATGACAAGCTCAGACCACTAAATGGTATTTGCAAAATTTACAAGTGAAAATAAGATGGGTTTTCGAGATAGCAGAGGTGAGGATATAGGATACAAACAAATAAAGTGGCAAAAGCTAAGGAAAGCAAAGAGTAGACAAATTAACTAAGGTATATAAACAAGCTGCAGGGGGGGGGGGGTGAGACCAGCAAGGTATACACAAGGTTTTTACCACCCTTACTACTACATCCATAACATTATTGAACAACCTTGGCGACCTTACACATCTTTGAAGTACAGTATACAGTACCTTCTTTTACTTGGAATCACTTCAATTGCCTACATGTTTTCACACTCTCTAAAACAACATAGACAGCATGTGACAACTTCCTAAGTATCTCGTACATTTTCAGCTTCTTTCCCAACTGTAAAATTAGGCACCCATGCACAGCTGGGTGGGCCAAGGATGCCCTACTACAAACCTGCAATCATTAGGACAGAAGGCAGGTAATGTGTCCAATAAACTTTGGAGAGACACTAAAATGCAAACTCCTATGTCCCTCTTAATTTAGTGGGGTACTGAATAATAAAACTTTCCTCCACACACATTACAATTACTACAACTTACCTTGCTGTCAAAGGCAGTTTCATATATTTGACGACGACTCCTCTGCGCCATGGCATACTGGGCTCCAAGACTAAGGCTGGGAACTGGACGGTATGGCAACACAGCAAAAACCTGAAAATATCCTTCTTTTTTAACTTTATGTTGGATTTCTGAGGAAATAAAACCCCTTAGATGAACAATTAATATTACTTAGGCTAATATTCTTTGTATTCTCAATACAATATTCTAAAGCATCAATTTACTGGTATTGTACAGTACATGTTAATTTATCAATACCATCATGTCACTCACCAAAGAACTTGCTGCCACAATTTGTCTGGTCATAATGGGAACATCGCTGCTGTTGACCACGAACCCTGGACAAAACTAGGCAGCTTCAGGTTAGTAAAGTTTGCCTCACACTTTGACATGAATCTTCCAAGCAGCACACATGGCATCAAACACAAACTCCCAAAGCACAATGACGAACACAGATGCCTCAGAGGTCACAGGCCTTGCTTGAGCACTCTGTGCTTATGCCTGTAAAGTTCAAAGCATTTACATTCAACTCAAGGATACTGTATTAACATTTTTAAAGTTACAACTATTTCTTTTAATTAGTGCAAAGAAATTATCATTATTATTTTTTTAACATTAACCCTTTAAGGAGAGTTTTGACTCTCTGCAGTTACCCAAAGTGAGTTTTCTTCCCAAAATAAAAGTAAAAATTTAAAAATTTACATAACTTATGAATCTAAATACAGTAAACACAATCTACGACACAAAATTGGGAAAAAATTAAACAAGAGCAGTTAATGAACTACCAGTATATCATATGCCACCTTTGACCTTCAGGTGTGACCTTGACCTATGACAAGACTTGAATTTGGTGTTACATATTTTTTCTAGAGATGATACATGCAATTATGCATTTCAAGTAAGGAATCATTAAAATATAAGTAGCTACCATTTTAGTAGTTAAGCTCCATATACGGAGGTGCATAGACACCTAATCTATCCAGGTGACAACACTATACAGTATACCAGTACAGTACTGTACTGTACAGTACAGTATATCTATTTTCAAGTTACATATAAAAAGCAAAAACACTTCTAGAGAGTTGTGAAGATCTTGCAAGAAGTGTTGGTGACAAGGATGTATAGTACAGGTATATTGTAAATGGAGGTTATGATATCACGTGTAACTAGATATTACATACCCTTTATAACTCAAATTTGGAACCTAACACAAAAGTGTAAGAGAAATTTGTCTGTTCACCCATACAAATATAGATGTTGACTCTTTTTAGAACATTATTGGTCATATCATGAAATTTAGAAGTACAGTACATGTTTTATGATGAGTTTTGTCGTGTTACATTGCACAAATAAATTAACCATGGTCAGGTACACTATACACCTAAGTTTGGTTGACCTTTGTGTTTACCAGGTACTGTAGCTCATTTAGCATTTAATTTACTTTTCTCAAAACTCTTGGCTTTACACACAAGAACCTTCATATAAAAATCTCATTAAGTACTGCAGCATTACTGTACCAGTACAGCAGTTCAATAGGTCACTATATATAACCTGTATTTTGGCACCTTTAAAGTAAAGGTTAAAGAGAAGGTCTCCACTTTATTCCACATAATAAATGCTTGTTTTATTGAATACAAGGCACATCCAATGGAAATTCATGGAAAATCATACTTACAATCTTAAATAATTTTTAAATTTTGATAGGAAGCATCATGGTCTTGTCAACAAAGCTCCCTCTGAAGGGCTACAGAGCCAAACCGATGATAACAACAGACAACACAAACCAACCCAACTGAATCTAACCCAACACCCCAAAAATTAAATTAATGTTTGGTTAAAATCTGGGCTGTTTAGTTTCTGCTATATGTCACTTTTAAAAATTAGCCTTGCAATTTCTAATAGAAGCTTTGTTTACAAGATGATACAGTACTTATATGAACATTCAAAATATGAGTTTCATAAATTAAACACTCCATTTTCCTCAATCCTCCACCAGACTAACATTGGGTGTTCTGAGTTAAAATAAACACACACAAAAAAAGTAACCCCACATTTACCTTATCCTTTATTGCCTTAGTTAGCCTTTGTGTTTAGTTCATTTTAGCTAATTAGCCTTAATGATGAACATAAAAAGCAGGGCATTTGGGTACCTAGTAAAGTAATGCTCGTCTAGGTTTTATTACATTTCTTGGGTTTCGTCTGTAAGCAATCCAGAGTATAATAGGAAGGCTCTAATAAAGTGTGAGGCAGCAATAAATAATATCCAGAGAGCACCAGGCTACTGCTACTGTTATTGTAATAAATGTCTTTGTACACTTTACATGATGCACAGTATCCCCATGATAACCAACAACAAACTATTGCTATTTACCCGATACTTTCAGGCACCTGGAGTGAATAAATCAAGCTTGTAAGAACTATTCAGTTAAAATTACAATAAGAGAATTGTGGCAGTATATTCATAATATAATTATAAGGAGAATCTCACAATAAATATGACGAGCCAGTACAGTGCTTGGTGTTCACTCTTGTCTGAACGGGCCGACCCAAAACACTTATTCAATTATTGATTACCAACACCTTTCGCATGTGGTTACACAGGTTAAGTGTTACTTGATATATGAAGCAATACAACGAAATGATAACAAAAAGTACACAGTCCCGTGATGAAAAAAGTCGAGTGTAATCCCATCGTCTTAGCAAGCTGGATGAGCAAGGATGAGATCTAGCTTGAGCCAAATCTCTTTTGTGTATTATTCACCGAATATCACTGCCTTTAATCAAATCTGAGGTTGAGGTTATCATTCCCTCTAAATGTGTAACTTGCCTGGTGCTCCACTGAGGCCTGTAGATGCCTGTTCTCCGTCAGGAAAATCCCGTGTGCGTCATCTTCTCTCCACTACAGACTGACAAATCCAGCGCGCATGTGCGTCGTCTGCTTGTTTACGCATTGATACCGCCCTTGTCCGATTCCTGGTCCTTTAGGAGTGTTCGCGGTCCTTTTTTCTTATCTTCCAGTTGTAAATTGACAACTATACTTCATAAAGAAATTTTATTTACATCTATTTACAAACTTTAAGTAATCTGCAGAAGCAATAATATGTCACCGAACAGATGACATATTAATGTTTTCTCATATATATTGACGTGATACATTCGGACATATTAGAAAGAGAAAATGGAATATTTTGTATGGGTAACTTGTGCATTAAGATATAATATTAATAAGATTAAGTTGTATAAGGATATCACGTGCTCTTCCGCTTTCCACTAACATGGAATGTTTTTGAGAACCATCCTGTTCATCCAGATAATTTGACACTAATCAAACACCTGTCTCAAGAGTTAATGTGCAAAAAATAAGTAAATAAGACTTAAAGATCCCCGCGCTATTTATTTTCATTCCTTCTCATTGTCAGTAACATTGTTTTCAACGACGTACAATTTTGCACAACTATTTATGTATTATATGTTCATGTGTAGATGTTCCATCAAGGCATCTCGTATAATGCTATCTTGTACTTTACACACTATGCTGATCAAACTCACCAGTTTATTATAATTATTCGTGCAGTGGCGATATCTATTTGAATATAGGACTCGCACATGTCATTTTCCAGTCATTGGAGACCTTTTGTTCGCACATGCACCTGCAGAATAAGATTTTAAGGAGCTCAAGCTCGTTGGCCGAGCACAATTCTCTTAACACCCTGAGGTGTACCTCATTAGGACCAGGGCTCCCAAGTACCTTTGGCTTTGACAATTTGTCTAATACACTCTTTTGAGAACTTAATTTGTGTCATATCTCTGTCAAACCGCCTTTCCTCAAACGCAGGGAGATTGTTCGCGTCCTCTCGTAAACAACGAAGAAAATAATTTATTTAACGCCTCCTTGTACTGAACTGAGTCTTCAAAACTACCATCTTCAAGCCCCAGGCCTGATACGCCCACTTGCGTCTTTAATTTCGATTCTGCGTAACGGTAGAAAGCTTTAGGGTTTGACTTGTTTCGTTTGTCGTCCGCCTCTGGTAATCTTTTTCAGCCCTCCCATGCTCTGACTTGACTTGGTTTCTGGACCTGGCAGAAAATTTAATGTCCCGCCGCAAGAAATGATCAAAACGCACATCACCTACATCCAACCCATCCTGGAATACTGCTGCCCACTCTTTCACGCCGAAGCAAAGCGAAGCAAATTGAAGGGATTCAACGCCGGGTAATGGAAATAGTAGTGGGTTGGATCACTAGATATCAAAATGTCCCTGACACGTTCGAGCTGACTACATTAGGCAGGTGTGAGGACTGAGTCTGAAGTTCGGCCGAGGTCTACCGGCAGAGCCACGACATCGCGACTTGCTGTCGCGGCGGCAGGGGGGAGGCCTGTGTCAGGGTAACCTGAGACTCGGGTATCTTTCAAACCTTCCGCTGCTGTGCCAGACTCAGGAAATCGTGTATCTCATATATTACATCTCAAATTATTTTTTTTAAATTTGTAACTTCAACTGTATCATGAAATATTGTAATTCATGTACCCAGCAATGTAACCCTTTATGTAATTATTATTTGGTGGAGAGTTTTTCCTTGACTTGTGTTACTGTGGTGGTTTTTATCCGACCTCTTTGTCAACAATTATGTAAACATGTGCTTTATGTTCCGTGCTTTTTTTTACGCATCCATGTAATATTTAACAAAAACCTCTCTCTCTCTCTCTCTCTCTCTCTCTCTCTCTCTCTCTCTCTCTCTCTCTCATATCCTTTGCTGGTCATCATTTGTCGTTACCCATCTCTTCAATTTCTAATATTTTTTCTTAACTTTGACAACCACCGCCTGGTTCATGTGTAGCGGTATCCTTGAAGTCCTGGAATCATTGGGTTTGGTCTTGTGTATATTTATCAAGCAAATAGATCACTTTACTATCTGTGATATTCAGGGTAGTATCCGCGTTCCTATTTCTCAACGAGTCAGGCAGTGGAAACCCCTCATTTCCTCCCTTTATCTTTTACTTTAATATATATATATATATATATATATATATATATATATATATATATATATATATATATATATATATATATATATATATATATATATATATATATATATATATATATATATATATATATATGCGGATGTGGATCTGCATTAAATAATTTATTTAGTGTTCGATTTTGTCTAAATTTCACAAACATAAACAGCAATGCATTATTGATTTAAATCTACAAATATGAAAGATCGTATAATAGGATTTGGCAATGAAATAAAAAAAATCTTGTCCTGGCGTTAAAGTTTATTTCGCAATGGTAGATTTTATTACGTAGTAAATGTTATACTATTGTACAAAGTTTGGAAAGCAAAACAGAAACTTTCTACAACACAACAGAGTGAAACTTGCTCTTTGTTTTGGTTCCTCCGTGTGACGTTAGCTGATGCAATGGGAAAGTTGTCAGCTTACGTATAAACATAAAAAAGATATATATTTAGCCCAGATTTAGAAATGCTAG